AAGACCAAGGTCTATACCAATTTTCAGAATTTTTCATCTTCAAAAAGTGCCTCAAATCGAGCGAGCAAGATTTGATCACAGACGGACGTGAAACCAAACTTAAGAAAAGTGTTAAAAATCAAACATACCTAATTATTTATTTAATATCAACAATAAATTAATTATACAATAGGTTATCAGCTATAAAAAAATTATACAGGTAGTTAAAAAAAATTGAATTTCATAACACATGTAAAACAAGGGATGTGGACTGACGGAAATTTAGGGTTAATTAAAACAAAAATAACACCAGTGAGGAATTATTATACAAATAAAGGGATGAAATTATATTTAAATAAACTACCCAGAAAAAATATAATATATTGTATTGATTGTAATATTAAATTTAAATTAATGATAATTGATAATCAATATTTATTTGCCATTGTTTGATTAGTATAATTATTATTTATTGTTGTTAACATAGTCAACTAGTCAAGTGTTTAAATCTAATTAGGTATGTAAACATACAATATAATAATATGTTATATTTACTAATTAAAAAAAGTAAAATTACAATTATATGTATTCTAATTATTTATTTAAAATTGTATTACTCAATTAGTATAGTTTCACTACCTACTACCACTACAATACTACCTACAACCATATTGTAAATGTAATTGTAATTGAAATTGTAAATGAAAGGTTGAATGTATATAAATTAATAATGTTGAATAAATAAATATAAAATTTAACGAAAGTGCATTTTTCGGGAGGTTTAGTTTTTAAAATAATTCGATGTACCTATGGATTTAATTCAGATTTAGGTACATCGTAATATTATGTTTAATCTTGTGTAGATTAAGTAAAAATTGCTAAATATTACATATTATTATATCACTAAGACAAATGTTGTGCAATTTAAAAATATCTAGATGTATATATTTTTATACTCATAAAAAATTAAAATAAATAAAAAATTTTTTGAATGTATAACTATTGTAATAATATATTTGTATTAAATAACATAATATTCTTTAAGTAATTAAGTGTTTTAATTAATTTCGGTTGTTTATTAATATTATTACTTTAAGTAATATTTAATAGATATAAAATACCTTATATCTATGATTACACCTCTAGGAGTGTTTAAAAAACACTTAAAACACTTATTATTCAATGATTAATGAATCTAAAAAAAAATATAGTAATGTTAATTATATTGAATGATGAATAATGCTTTCATCTATTTTGAAGGTTTTTATATTTCAATCTCAGTAGGTAGCAGAAAAATAATTTATTTATGTATCACGTGTATGTTTTTTTCCATTTAGTCCATTTTTTTTAAACATTAATAAATTTTATAATAATTTCAACTACCAAATTAAATTAGGCATAGGTATTGAAATTTCTAGTGAGTTTAGGCTTAAAAACTTTAAGATAAAATTAAATTTAAGAGTATATAACGTCAAGAGTATAAACATTTTGTTTTTAATTTAGGTCAAATCAGGTTGTTAGCTTGTAATAATTTGGATTATCGATTTAAAAGAGCAACATACATTGAATCCAGAGTTTTCCATACTCAAGGCCATATACAATATACGTAACAGTCAAATCCAAAGAGCTTGGAATTAAATAAGTAAATAACACGCCACAGAGAAAAAGTCGGTGACAACTAGAATTTATCTGTGAGCTATATAGCACTTTTAAAACAATACGAAGTCGCCAAACCCTCCAAAATTCTCTTCTATTATACTGGGTTCGGGGTTGAATTTCGTAACTATTCACTTCAACACCCCACATTGTATACGTATTGATGAGTTAAACTAATATTATGCTAACAATAAAATGTTCATACAAATAAAACGAGGTAATACCTATATTATATATATTATGGTTTATGGTTTCCTTATTGTTTTTCTTTAATATCAAGTTTTGTGATCTACTTAAATTTATTGAAACATTTTACAATGTCCCGGGCAATGAAATTAAAATAATTTTCTTTTTATAAACTTAAAATGTTATATTCATATAAGTAATAATTAACCTAATTTTTTTTTTATTTAATTAAATATAATAATAAATACATATAACTTATTTAAATAATCCTTATTTCTAGATGATCCGTAATATTATTGTCTCTTATGAAACTATAATTGGATTACATAATAAAATATTTTATTTCAGTGTGAAAATGCATTCAAAGATTTTATACTTATATTTCATACTGACATAACAAATTAATTTTGTTGTGCTTTTGATGAATCATAAGCTTAATTTATTAAATATTATGTACCTATGTATATTATAATATATTATAGTTATATGCGTTTTATTTTAATTAGTATATTTTAGCATAGCATCCAATTAAAATGTTCAAATAATAGGCAGACACAATTATACCAATAAGTTACGACAATAATAATTAATACAATATTGTTATAATATAGTTTATTGGTAAATTATTGTTCTATTAATTTAAGTTGTAAGTTATATTACGTACACAGGAAAGCTACAATAATAGGTTTCACGGTTCTTGAATATTAGAATAAATTGAATATTTATTAACTCGTTGGCGAGGTTAAGATAATATTTTAACTTTTCGAAAATAAAAAGCGGGTAAGTGGATGTCTCTCTGCTGTATAGTAGGTTACAAGTTGGTCAATGTTCATGAATTGTATTAAACTTGAATTCAATGATATAATATCATTGTATAAGAAAAACGATTCTGAGCGGAGACGGTTCATCAGTCTGGATTTTTTTAATTTTTATTGCTCATTATAGTCTTTAAGTTGAATTAATACTATAATATTGTAATTTTTGTTCGTTGCTACGGTGATATACAAATCGTTAGAAATTAAAATCACATTTTAAGCGGTTTTTCGTAATTTGTCAGTAGTTTTTTTCGGTGAATTAAATAACTATTGAGAAAATCGAAAAATGACCTTTCTAAAGTACCATCTTGATCCAATTTGCTAAAAGATAAGGTACTATATGTTGAAATCAAAGCACTACTACTTTTAGAAATTTTGTATACAGGATATAAAAAAAAAAAAATAAACATCATTGTAAAACCACTAGCTTCCTCGCTCCGCTCAGAATCTAAAAATGTAACACAATTATCCATGAATATTTTATCTCGCGTATAACTTCATAGTTACAACACAATAGAAATTAAGGTGGGGGGAAAGATAATACCTACCACGTAAGATTTATGAAGTATCGCAGGTCTATATCGCAGGTCTGCATCGCAAGGTCCTATAATAGCGAGCGACAAACAATAAGTCGGCCAACCGGCCATATCAGATAAAACATAATATTATCAACTCCAGCTGATGACTCTGTGGTACAAGTGCGGGATGCCGGTCGTCGTGGACGTCGGTGTTGTAGTGGGGACACCCCACACTGTCCATCATACTCTTGAATCTCGACTCCGTTGCAATAGGTACACAGGTAGTAGATAGGTAGATAAATGAGTAACACACTGTTTATTTGTGACGCGTTGCGTCGAGAGTTATTCATCGTAGGTACGACAAAGTAAAATGCACAATATGATCGGACGCAGTACGAATGAGTAGGTACATTGGTCGAGCGGTCACATGGTCGTTATCGACGGAATCGGAGGTGCTAGTTGCATGCGCGATCGATCGAGCGTTCGGTTACATCGGAGAGACGAGGACTTCGTCGGAACAATATGAATTCGGTTGGCGGAGGCGAGCAGAGGTGAGCGATGACCATCGAGGTCGTATCGCTGTTCGGCTCGTCGGCTCGTCGGTCGACGAAAAGCATAGGCGTCGGGCGCGATCGAATATCGTTCGGTCGAGGGCTGTGAGCAAAGAGAACGCTGGCCGGTCGGTCGGCCCCGCGTAGTACCCGTCACGGGACGAGTGACATGGCGTCGCCAACGGGAGACGCGAGATCGAAAAGGCAAAGGAACATAATATATATAAAAATCACAGAAGTTGTGTAAAATTAAATAAATACGAATATAAAAAGACTAGGTCCGCGGATCGGATATTAACGGAAAAGTGGGAAAAAAGTGGTGATACTGGCCAAGAATCGCCACAACACTGCCGATATCGATGACAGGTGGCTGAGATGGCTTGGTGGTCAATACCTTCGCGAAAACATATTTTTACGTCACACGAGCAACTACTCAAGGGCAGATATTATTATGTAATGTACCTGAAACTATAATGGCTCGTCTCTTGAAATTCAAAATCAAATTAATACAGTACCATAGCGCGTAAACGAAGTTCAAACATTCCGTACGAATATAATATTTTAATGGTGATACCGTGAATTAAGCGTAAAACCGAATGTATCACATTCTCTACATAACAATATCGTCGAATATGAATAATGTGTGATAATTGACGCGCACACCACTTAGTGGCCCGTGCGGGAAAGTTTCAGAAATATTACCTAAATAAACACTATAATATATTACGATATACTTGACATAATGACATTATTATAATGAGAAAATAATAATATACGATTTAAATTATAAAATTATAAATCACGTATAATATTGTATAAGTATGTAAGTACCACCTGCATTATAATAATACTGTGGTCGTTAAAAACCCCATAGGTACCACTCTACCTTTATAATATAATACAACAAACCGAATAACTTAAGTTTATTACTGTAAATACGCCGTATAAAAGTCATAAATCAAATACGTTTTCATATGTGTTTTTTTTTTTTCATGACATATTATTATTGTTATTATTACATGCAATAAAAACATTTTATTTCTTCAAGAAGTAATTTAGTTTAAACAAAATATGCAAATAGTAGTAAAATGTTTATTATTATTATAATTTATTTTTTTATTTTTTGTAACCGCATATTATGGTTTATAGGTACCAACTTAATACTTATAGTGTCCGTACATAGTGCAATTAAACTGACACCGTAATAACATACCACGCAGTACGCATTGCCGTCACAATATTACTATAATATTTACAATTTGTGTTTTTTTTTTCATTCATCAAAATCTAACACAATGCTTAATGGACGTGCGTGTTTGCCTTTTGCAGATGGTTCGATCGAATCGCCGTCGCAGAGCGGCAACCTCAACTACTGGGAACAGCCGTTCTCGCAGCCTTACTTCGACAACGCCACTAGACGAGACGTGACCGCGACCGTGGGCCAGATGACGTACTTACACTGCAGGGTCCGAAATCTCGGCGACCGATCGGTAAGTCTTCTGCACCCGCCACTCCTGTGCGGTCTGCTGCGACAGTCGACACGACGGTGTCGCCAAGTCTTGTGTGTGGGTGTGTGTGTGGGTGTGTGTGTGGGCGGCAAGTATAACCCGCCCCGTACCGTACATATCGATTAAACATTAATCTACAGCCAGCGCACTTTTAGACTTCGGTTCGAAAAGTTTCGGACACGTCCGCGGACAAATTGATCGCGACCACCGACGTAATTGATCGAGTAAACGACGCTGCACGTCGGCGGATAACAGTAGTGCGGTGTAACGGTGGGGAAGTCGTCAAAATTAAAAAAAAAAACCCAAAAAAAACACGGCCGCCTACCTATGTGCAGCTGCTCGGAACATAATATTATTATACCGTACACCAAAACGTATAAACGTAATAATCGTATGCGTGACGACGTCGTCGTGAACTTTGTTCATCTGATTCGGTTTTTTTTGTTTTGGTTTCTATCCACATTATGGTATAGGTATACTTTGATGATAGTACATCGGACACACATATAATAATATGTAGATACGTTTTTACGACGCATTACGCCCGAGAACAAAAACGAGCGCCTAAATATAAGTGTAGGTACATATAATATTATAGGTACACATTGTACTTTATAACAATAATAATATACTCACGAAATAAGTCCACCAAATCTCTGAGGCGACCCGTTCCGGCGACAACAACGTCGTTTTATTCGTATTTTGGTCACCCATAATCTGGATGTATAATATGTATATTATAGAGCTCCGGATGGCTAAGGAGAAAAAAAATGATATTCCGTCGTCCTCGATGTAGCAAAAGTCACACCTGTCCTGCTGTATAATATTACTGAAGTAGTATACAGGAAGGGCCATCGTGTTTTTCCCGTTTTCCAGCGATGGCTTAACCGAAAGAAGCTCTGTGGACGCGCCCTGTATAAATAATATATTATTATAGTGCAGCACAGTAAGAAAATCGTCAAAGACCGCAGCAATAACAACAGTATAGGCATTGCGTCTTATTATTGTGTTCGGGTCGTTCTGATTTACGATACACGCTGGTTTTATTTTTTACTTTCATTTTTACATTACGACTACAACAACCGCGTACTGTTATAATATCACTATGCACATACACGTAGTATAAGATACGTCAGGAGTTTTATTAATATACTTTTTATCCGATAAAAAATACTGAAATAAAACTACCGATTTTTTATATTGGTAATATTCATATATTAAATAATACTAGCGGTCCGGACCTACGTTGTCCAGGCCAAAGATTTAAATTTCTAATAAATGTAAAAAAGTTTTCTTTTTTAGTAAACTGAAAAAAAATCACGTTTGGCTACTCTTTATAGATATCTATAGCCCGTAAGACTTGACAAATTAAGCTATAAACACCCTCCAAGATTCAAGTAATCTATTGATATAACTTTTGTTGAAAACGGTCCAGACGTTTTTTGAGGCTATTAACTTCGGACGAACCAACATCCAATTTTAGTTGTACAACCCATTTTACCCGTGAAAAAAATGAAAAAATACAACATTTAGATTGTATAAGTGACATTATATAAGTGTAGATTATATTAGTGAATTTCTACTAATTTTTTATCCTAGGTATAACAAATAACAACAATTTATAAACAAAAATTTCCATCATAAATCACAAAATCCCTGTTTGAGCAACTCTCCGTGTTGGACCTATCAGGTCCAATTGTAAATCCGAACCATCATGCTTCAATCAAAATAGTTTACAACAATAATTGGTTTGATAGAGATCGTGACAGAGAAATTTGATATAAATAAATATAAATTTGCTACTGTAAACTGTAATGGTATTATATTTTATCCACTGATTTAAATTCTTATGAAAACGTACATAATTTAATTAATACCCAATTGTAAAGGATTATTTACACTTTTTATTATAAAAAATGTATTGCAATCATTTCAATATTCGAAATTAGATGTCTAAATATTTGTTATACACTCCGGTCCAAAATAAACTCTGTAGTTGTGGCACTCGTCGACGTTTTAATGTTATTCGGGTTGTTGGTGCTAAAAATTAACGACCACAAACCAGATTATAATAATATCATGTTAGGTATACAACAGTTATCAGTTATTCACTACGGTTAGGTGCAATTCCTTTCCGAATTCGTTGTGTGACCTATCCTAAGGTGGTTATCGTAATAAAATAATATTTCATTATATTTTAATGGTTTCAATGTGCGATCGGATTAAACCGCGAAACGCTTAAGCAATCTGCCACCGCTCGTGAAGCACTATAATATGTTCTATTATAATAATATCATCTCTGACAAATCAAATTAAAACTTTCTAGTTTTAGAAGTTTGCAAAAATTTTTAAATAGTCCCTTTAAAGTGGATAATCGTAAAAAGGTTTTTACACAACGATATCAAATTTCCAACCAGGGAAATTATAAACTACCTACTATATAATATACAACCGTTTCAAGTTTAATGGCGAAAGGAACGGTCTTTTTTGAAAATAAACTTGCATACGATGTAAAATAATTATTGCATTGCTTTGGCCTTTCAACCTAATTCCATGCGCTCAGAAAGGTTGTTTTTTTACGAATTGCCTGTTAAAAAATATTTTACGAGGTATAAAAATTCGACTGGAATTATTATGAAATATATAGGTATCAGCTGATACCTAGGTCCCTACGTGCTCAGCAGAAATTTAATTTCTCACAATTAAAACCATATAGTAGTTTATTTTGGACCGTCACGTATCTTGTGGTTATCGTATTACTGTCATAATAACATTAATATTATTAACCATGATATTATACTGAAGTTCCGATGTACTTCGAGAGTCAGTTATTCTCACTTATCAGTCAATCTAAGTTAAACTAATCAACGAGTTGAAATTTGGTTTTGGTGTACCTAGTGCAAACTGAACATTAGTTCTCAAATCCAAATTGAAAAAAAAATTAGGCAACTTTTTTACGTACAATATGAGACGTGTGGAAATGAGTTAAATTTATCTTGTCTGTGTGCTGTGCACGTTTTAGATTCTGAGTAGAGCGATGAATGTATTGGTTTTACAACGATGTGTATTTGTTTTTTTGTGTTTATTCATGATATACATATAGTAGAAAAATACATCTTTGACATTGAGAGTGGTACCTTTTAGAAAATTGGATGTAAATGGTACTTTTGAGTGTCAGATATGGTCAGAATACATTATACACTATTTGAATATAAGCGTTTAAAGTTAGAAATTTGACGAAATGGTTAAAATCTCGAAAATTGGAAAATTCTTTTGTAGTTCAAAATTTCTAACATTTTTAATATTATTACCTAATATTTGAAAATGATATACAAAGTTCCTCGTAAGTTGTTATTACTGGTTTTAAAATAAATAAATTGAGCATTGGTGCCTAATTCCAAAAATATTTTTATGAGCCTCTGAAATTTAAATGTTGACGAAATAATATTTAACAATAATATTAAAAATAATATAAATTAAATATTAAATAATATTCACGAGTAAACTAATAATTTGTCATCAAACGATTTCTTTATTTTTTGTAATAGGTACAAAAATGAATAACTAGTATACTTGACATTATCATAAATGGTTCATAATATGTACTATTATTTTTAAAATATTTCGATTCATTTGATTTAGGGTTTTTTTTTCTAAATATTGATAAATAGTCGTTCGATTTGTCAAAAATCTTAAAAATGTAATATAAGGTTCCTCAAACGTTTATGGTATAGCTATTTCAAAATATTGAAGCTACATTTGTGTGAGGTTTTTATTGACATTATGTAAGTTGAAATTTGGGCGAATTTAGATTTTTTTTTTTTAACTTTCATAATTAAACAATCTACCTACCTATTTTGTAAAATACGCTTAAATTATAGGAAAGAAGCTTAATAGAAAGGCTTGATAGGATAAGTATGAATAAATTGGATGCCTATTTAACGAAGAATAACGATTTTAGTTACTTTGTTATAATTTAAAAATTATTTTAGTGGGGATTTGAAACTTTTAAGTATATTCTTATATTTTATATACATAATGACATTTTTCAAACACTTAGATTGATTTTATGAAATTGATGTTTAATAAAAAGTTCCTCATAACTCATAAGTTTTTAATATAGAAATTAAAAAAAAATCAAAATTACATAGTCACAATATTTTTTTATGAACTGCTTAAAATGAGCAAAATTTGCAAATTATTTTGAGTATAAGATTCATAAAATATTTATATTCATTCTTCAAGTTTGAAAGTTTAATACAAGTACCAAACAATACATAGTTTAAATAAACAAACTTGGATTTTCACCCATAAAATTACGATTTCTCAAGAAACAATTTTAGTTTTTTTTTAATGTAATTCACAGAGTATTATTCGTAGAAACTTCGAGAAATCTTTTAACATTATTTTTGGTCTTTGATAGGTGGTACAATTTATCCAATGGGTGACCAGTATAATATTATATCATTATACAAGTCGGGACTCAATTTATTCAGAAAAATAATTATAAAACTCAAAACTCAATTAGGATAATTTCAAAATTGTGTTTTATTTTTGAAGGGGCGTTCAGTCCAAATGCACTGGGTATTATTCGTCAGGAGTCCTTAGGTCCATATAATACGTTTATATTATACCTATATACTGATAAATATTTCTTGTATAGTTTAAATTGGTTGGTATAGCTTTATGCTGATGGTAATAATAATCATAATAATTTCAAAAACATTTGTTCCCACTCAGAAGTTTTAGGATCGACGTATATGTATTGATTTTATAACGAAGTATGTTTTCTTTTTCTTTGGTATCTGCAAACAGCGTAGTATACGCGTTTGTTGTTAAAAAAAAAAGCTTCGATTTTCGACTTTGCAAAATTTGTACTGCCTGAAAATTTGGTGGCACTATTTTAAAACCGAAATGGCGCCCCCGACGACGTGTGTCACCTATATCATACTCCTTGAATTATATAACAATATAATAGTATC